TAATAAACTTTTTTATTTTGAATGCTTTACATTTGAGAAAATATATGTCAACCGTCCCACTTGATTCATCCAGTAAATAAACTAAGGACATTACTTTTCTCAATGTAAAGCATTCAAAATAAAAAAGTTTATTACAGTAACTATTATAGAAACAGTCTTCCCAGTATATTGAGGTTTGTCCTAGAACACGGGTGTCAAACTCGGCGCATCATGTTGCTGTCCTGTGAGTTTTCCCATTTGGGGAGCTGGAATGCATGTGGCCTGCGCATGACGCACCCGGCCCACAGGCCGCCAGTTGGACACCCGTGTCCAAGAAGAACCGTTAATGCCACAAGAAGACTTTAACTCAGGGCCCAATGTGACAACAAAGGCTCACCTGTGAGCTCTATGTGCAGTTCCAAAAGCATCATTAATGTAAACATCTCCTAATTTAGAAAGTGATGCTCTGAAAGCATCCACTTTTGCAGAATCAGCCTTGACCTGGAATAAAATAAAAAGAGAAAGTCAACCGACACATACTCCTCAAAAACCCCCCCCCCCCCCCCCCCCGGCTACCACAGCATAAAGGTTTACAAAAAAGCTCCCTAAATATAAAAATACTGCTACGCAAAGGGTGGCAAAAGGGAAACTTTCACCAGGAAGAGGTTGATGAAGTAAAAAGTAACTAGCAGGTATGTTACCTAGTCACTTTGAGCTTTTTGACCTAGCTACCCAACATGCCCCCGATTTAAAAAAAAAACATGAAAGAAACTGTTAAGGTGCTCCCTCTCCTAAAGACAAAGAATTTGGAGATAAACTGCCTCCTCTACTGAGAATTGCCCTGAAAGCGATGTGGGCTCTTCCCACCTTTGTGATAAGCAGCAGAAGAACACCACTCTCCGGATAGGACCTGCCCTCAAATCATGAGAGGGTTTTGAGGGGAAAGAATTCTTTCAAGGTTGCTTTATTTATTATTTATTTATGTATAGATTTGCATTTTATGTGGCAGGATGTTTCACAATTCCATTGGGATCAACTAATTCAAACATGTTTTAAGATGATTACTCGGGCTCATCGATGTGCATGGTGCTTGATAGACAGCACCACCTCTGAAGCTGATGCCTAACAGAGCTTTCAAACCAAAACTGAAGGAGAAAAGGACGGCAGCAAAGGATCAAATGCCAGGTGAAAGAAACCCCTTCATATGAAAGAAGAAGCAACGGGATATATAGGAAGAAGTTCAAGTGGGAATTAAGGTGGCCTTCAGGAGTTCATTTGCACATGCTTTTACAGCATTATATGGGTAGTCTCCACCAACCTGCAAAAGGGCATCGTACTGTATAGCAATATTTTAAACTCAAAATAGTTCAAGGTGGGGGCAAACTTGAGGCTTAATGGGGTCAGAGATGCTAAGAAAAGAAACTGACTGGGAACAAGTTCTCTCAATGACCTTCAAGAAAATGTCAGCGGTGCAAGATAGCATGGGCACCAGATGGCTGTCTGAAAAATATGTGGATCCTAGTCAAAGGTTTCTCTTAGCACAGGATATATGAAAACTTCATCAGATAATAAATAGGTTTTTTTGTCAATTTTTTCTTGCATAGTTACTTTTGATTTAGACTCCTTTCTTTGCTTTAATCCAAATCCCATCTTTTTTAAAGCCTCAATACTATAATTTCATCCAAATAATTTATTTATTTAATTTTTAAAATTTATTGGCCACCCATCTTACCATAGGGTAACTCTGGGCGGGTTTACAGTTACGTATACAGTTACAACATAAAATGTTAAAATCAAACCTTAAAACCAAGGACACGGGGAGAGTGGGGGAGTTAGAATCTGTTATTACTCAATACCCAACACCTCCATTGTGCTGTTCCCCAATGGGGCCCCAGACCAACTGGAAGAGCCAGGTCTTTAGGCCCTTACGAAAAGATAGGAAGGTGTGGTCAACCTGACATTGGGAGGGCAGGGGGGCAAGATGTTCCAGAGGGCAGAAGACCCTCCTCTGCACCCTGTAAGCCAAATAGTATTAGCTCTATGCATGCCTTTCAGTGTCCATTAAAAAATAAGAGGTATAAGATCTGACAATGCAATCTTAAAATTATTTTTTTTCCAGCACATCAGCCTTCAAGTGGGATAGAAAATGGGGGCAGCTTGGGTTTTTTTTTCCATGGTAAAGGAACAAGGAAAGAGCCAGCTGTAAATGAATGGACCACTTCATACTGGCCCTGATGTTTCCAACTTAAAACTCTGGTGGATGTGGGGACGACTTGCTTGAAGAGCCCTATGTACCCTTAACTTGTAATGCCAAAGAAGCAGCCATAGATGGCTTCCTTTCTGGAAAAGATAAACAGTGATAGGACCCTCTCTTTAAAGTGTACTGATGCTTTCAAACTGGGTTGCCCAACAGTGCATGCGCTCCCCATGGTCTTTACCCAGGAATATGAATATTTTGTCACTGCCATGTGGAAACAGGGCCTTACAATTCTGCACAAAACAGGGCTATAAGGGGAAATGTAACAGTGCACCTCTCCTCTCCTCATTCCCAAAGTCTAAGGAGGACACAACTGAATGAGAAAGCACTCTTAGAACTGTGCTACAGAGAAATTAAGTTATTCTTCCTGTTACATTAACACCAGAAAGCATGAAGTATTATGAACAGATTATCAAACATGGCTTAATTACTTTTGTAACTTCTTTGAGAGGCACACAATATGACGCTGGTGGCTGTCAATCTCACCTTATTGCCTGAAGGATCCTTCCCTTTTCCTTCTTCTTCTACGTGGAATCGGAGGTTTTCCAAAAGAATAACGGAGCCATCTGCAGGATTGGCGCAAGCTGCCTCTACCTCTGAACCCACACAGTCTTTCAGGAATTTGACGTCTCTAGAGATGATCCAAGATTTAGACTCAGTTTTTTGAAGCGGAAAATATTTTATAGCGTTTCTATCGCATGATATCTTGATATCTTTTACCTGCCAAGCAGTGATTTGAGTTCAGCTGCTACCGGTTCCAAAGAGAATTTATCAGGCATTGCAACTCCGTCAGGCCGGCCCAGATGACTCATCAGTACTACAGATTTGGCGCCTTTGTCCAGACAGTGCTTGATGCTCGGGACTGCTGCCTTGATTCTACGAAATCGGAAGAAAAACGGGAAAGTTTAATTTATGATCTTCATTATAAGCACCTATCAAGGGAAACCCTCCTGCTGTGTAGGCAAATATTTAATACAGAATGATCCATGGGCTCAGCCTGCAATATAAGAGTCTGTGGGTCATGAATAAACAATGAAGCTCACAAACACTCAGGACTCTAGTTCCATAAGTAACAGCCAGCAGGCCCAACTGTTAGTAACCAAATTACAGGCAATCCTCAACTTACAACCACAATTGAGCCCAAAATTTCCACCGCTAAGCAAGACAGTTAAGTGAGTTTTGCCCCAACTTTCTTACCACTGTTACTGTGAATCACTTCAGTTGCTAAGTTAGGAACACAGTTGTTCAGTGAAGCCAGCTTCCACGCTGACTTTGCTCATCAGGTCAGAGAAGATGATCATGTGACCCCAGGACACAGCAAGCGTCACCAATACGAGCCAGTTGCCCATTTTGATCACGTGACCATGAGAATAATGCAGTGGTAATTAAGTGTGATTTTTTTTTAGTGACGTTGTAACTTTGAATGGTCACTAAATGAATGGTTGTAAGTCGGGGACTACCTTTATAAACTAAAACATCTAAGGGCCACCAATTTGGGCTATACATTATACCATCACATGATCTCTTGCCATCAAAATCCTACCTGTAGACTCTTCTTCTGCTCACTAATTTGTATATCTTGAACTACTTGAATGATTTGATCAATATTATGTAATTCAGAAGATTCAGTAATCCTGCCACACATAAAACCATTTTGATCCTATAAACATTATCAAAACAATTTGGTGCGCAAAAGAGGAGCTCTTGTGCAAGGGCAACTATCTATCTATCTATCTATCTATCTATCTATATATATATATATATATATATATATATATATATATATATACACACACACACACACACACACACGCATATACATATATATGGATCTTTGGTTATTCGGGTTTTCTCCCACGTAAAATTGGAAGTATCTAGGCGACGTTTCGATGAAGTCTCATTCATCATCTTCAGGCTTGTGTCTTCGGCTCTGTGCTTCTCAGAGTAATGTGAGCTTGCAGCTGCTTCTTCCTTTTAACTGCTAGTGGGTGTGTGACTTGATTGGGTGGGGGCTTGGCTGTGTTCTGATTGGCTGGGGGTGTGTTCTGTTCAGGTGGGGGCTTGGTTGTGCTCAGGTTAGTCTTAGTTGCTGGGGGATTTGAGCTGGTGAGCTGTGATCCTGCTGTTTGGCTTCGTGTTCGTGGTCGTGCCGCATCTTCATGGTGGGCGTCAGTTTGCTTCATGTATGGGTCGGAGGGGTTTGAAGCGGGTAGTGATGCAGCTGTGGTGCAGCGACCACGGACCAGACAAATACCCATGAGAACCTCAGAAAATAAATATATATATATATATATATATATATATATATATATATATATACACACACACACACACATATACATACATACATATATATACACATACATATATGTATGTATATGTACATATATATGGTATTCAGCTTTGTTCGGGTATTTTCCCACGTCACAGACGAACACTATACAGAAGCCTGATGATGGCATATGAGATTCTGCCGAAACGTTGCTACAACTTTAAAAGCACAACTACAATGACGTGGGAAAATACCCGAACAAAGCTGAATACCATACATGTAAGTACCCGCGAAAACTTAAGAAAACACACACACACACACCTATATATATATATATATATATATATATAGAGAGAGAGAGAGAGAGAGAGAGAGAGACTATATATTTATTCTTGTAACTATAACTCTATAAAGACATTTTCAAACAATTGCTTAAAAAGATAAAGATTTACTATCACTTAAAAGCAAAACTTTGTTTTGCACCCAACCACCCTAAAATTTGATCGTGCAGCAAAGGCAGGGTTCAACTCATTAAGCCAAAAGGAAGATGCTCCCTCGGGAGAATTTATGTGGGCCTATTTGGGGCCTCCTTGCCTCATCTTCTTTTGTCAGCCTAACAGAAAGATGCACAACACAGCACACATAATATGAAAAGGAAAGGAAAGTGACTTCCAGAAGAAGTCACTTTTAAAATTGGTGGATCAGAATGCATCTTTATGCTTAAAAGTTAGACGGAAACCAGGAGCAGTCTCATATGAAGCCAGATCAATTGTTGTCAAGTCTACAAACTTAACAGAACAAACGGACTTGAAAAATATTTAAAAGCCTGATTTGGAGACAATACTGATTGATCTTTTTAACAGATAAACAGAGTTGGAAGGGACCTTGTAGGTCATCTAGTCCAGCCCCCCACCCAAGCAGGAGACCCTAAACCATTGCTAACAGATAGCAGTCCAGTCTCTTCTTGTAACTCATCTTAAAACTAAAATAAAAAACCCCTATGGTCTCACTTACAATCCATTGGAATACACAGAACTACCCAGAGCTCTTAGGAATTAAAAATAACCACTTACCTTTGATTGTTGGTTATTTGATTATTCTTCATTGGTACATTGAAATCAACCCTTAAAAAGAATAAGATAAAATTTTCTGTTATTAGTAGATTAAAGCATTGCATTGGCAATAATAAAATCCTACAAGATTTTTTAAAAGGGCCTACATCCAATTATATTTGGGTACAAAATGATCAGATATTGCGTTATTCTAACAGGGCCATTCCTAGGTACCTAATAAACAAATTAAGAAAACTATCTCAGTCATCCAGGTCTGGTTGTCCTAAGGGTGCTTTTTCAAGAAGCAACTGGACTTTCCGGTTTTTCTTTGAAGATGTTTCTCTTCTCGTCCAAGAAGCTTCTTCAGAGAAGAGAAACCAGAAAGTCCAGTTGCCTCTTGAAAAAGCACCTTTGGGACCAACAGTAGTGTAAAAATGTTTTAAAATAATGGACAGGTTTTGGATTCAGGTAAATTGTTATGGTCAAAGTTTAATGTACCTTTATATCTGCATTTCTGTTGCAAACTCTAGTTTTCTTGGCTAACTGCTTAAACCTCTTTCTATTTGGTGTACCCCACCCCAAACGTCCACCCCACCAGTCTTTGGCTACATAAAGCAGGGAGTAAATATGTGGATCAGACCCCTGGCCAGCTTTTAAAGCCTGTTAATTACTTCAATCTCAGCTAGAACTGAGGACTGTTCCTGCTCTATACAGTTTGAAGGTTGGAGGAGCTTCAGCGTCCATTTTTACAAAGCCATGCTTTCTGCCTCAAAGGGGAAGCAACAGGAAATTATGTTGAACAGTGTAAGCAGGAAGACACAGAGTTGTAAAGTTGAATTTTGTCTTGGGCAATTGAAAAACCAATTTCAGGAGATATCTTGGCTCAGAATATATGATCTCAAAATAACAATCCCCATATTTCCAAAGAATCAAGTGAAGCAACAGATCACACCTTTTTTTCACTTAATTAGCATGTAACTTCTTATTTAATATAGTAGTTAAATACTAATTGGAAATAGTAACTGAAACAAAAATAATTATTTGAAGGGGACAACTTAAACATGTAGAAAAAGCCAATAATTCAAATAAATAATTGGATAGCAATTTAGGATATAAATATGGGTGCAAGTGAAATGGAAACAAAGAGGTGTTGACCTCTGCCATCTGAATCAAGACTCTATTACTCCACAGGATCAGAAATGGGAAACCCACAGCTTTGTGAATCAGATACTCAAACTCTGTCAGAACAGAAGGGGAAGTACACCCCCCCTTAAAAAAAAAAGTGGAAGGACTTTGATCCAGATTGTAAATCGACAAACACTGGGTATTAGCACAAATCATTTTGTGAAAGAAAAAAAATGAATTAGTGAATTATGTCAATGCACATTGTCTCTGGGACAAAATATTTTTAAAGACAAGAAATGAATCATTAGAGATTAATTTATGATCTGTACTGAGGGTAATTAAAGCAGGTTCCAGAATGAAGCTTGCAGATTTCATGACAAAACCCCCGTCATCCAACCCACTTTCAGCAATGCATTAGAAGGGGTTGTTGCTCGGATGTGGTTAAAACTGCAACTCCTATCAGGCAGCGCTCGCATGTTCAATACTGACGGATGTTGGCAGTGATATTGCAAAATCTGACAGCACATCCATTTTACATGCAGCAAGCAACAGGAAAAACAGCCAGCCCTCAAGGCAAGGAAAAACACTGATGTGGCTGTAAATTCAGAGAGCCTTTTTCTCTCTCTACATAAAAAGACAAAACATCTTGAGTAGGGAAATGGCTTCAAGAGAATAATGGTAGAATGCAAAATCCTAGCTAGTCCTCAATGACCTTGAGCAAATGTTTCATTTATTTTACGGTCTTAGCCTTAAAATTATTTAAAACACCATCTCCGTTCCACACAAAACTGCAGTTATCCTAGCAGTTGTTCGTTTCCTTTTCAGGCACAGATTTAAAAAAGTTAGTTCTTTTGTCTCTGTCTTATTTTGCTAATGAGACCCTTGGTTTTCAATGGCAGATGGACCCTTATCTATCTATTCTATCTTCTTGTGCCCTATCCCTTATCAGACTGTTGGCAATCCTATTTTTATCTACAGCCGCAAGAAAAAGTACTGCTGACTTTTGTCCAAACCAGTCCCTTAGAGCAGGGCTCTCCAACCTGGGCCCCTTTAAAGCCTGGCAGACTTTCAACTCCCAGAATTCCCCAGCCAGCCAAAGCTTCAACTTTAAGCCGGGTGGACTTCAACTCCCAGAATTCCCCAGCCAGCTTTGCAGGCAGGGGACTTCTGGGAGTTGAAGTCTGCCAGGCTTTAAAGGGGCCCAGGTTGGGAGACCCCTGCCTTAGATTACCTATAGATCGTCATCTATGTACCCATTGGAAGAGATTATTACCCTTTCCCATTTCCACAGACCCTCCCTCGCCTCCCCACTCCTGGCCCCGAGACCCTCGCACCTCCATTGAGCCCCGAAGGGGTGGGGGGTGGGGGTCTTCCGCGGGGGTGGGTGTGTGGAAGCGGTTCAGGTTCGGGGACCTGGAAGGCGCTGGGCGCCCCCCGGAGCAGCGCTGTGAGGCGCCTTCCCGGAGCAGCGCAGCCCCCGCGGGCCCGTGCCCCCCCCCCCCCCCGCGACCCCCCCCCCCCCCCCCCCGAAGGGGCCCCCCCCCCCCCCCCCCCACACACACACACAAGCCACGGGGGGGGGGCTCCCCGCTGGAGCGTCACCTCATGACGACGCGCTTGCCCTTCACGTCGACTTTGTCGAGGGTGAGCTTGTGGGAGAGCGACATCTCGGCGGCTCCGGCAAAGCAAGCGACCTCCGGCTGAGCAGCGAGCGAGCGAGGCAGGGAAAGAGCGCGGGAGGCCGGCGGGGCTCTTGGGCAAGGTCGGGGGAGGCCCCGCCCCGCCTCCGCTTCCTCTGGATAGGCTGAGCCGCCTCCCCGGCTTTCGCGCGATTCGCCGAGTCGGCCCGTCAATCCCAGGCAGAGGTGGGGCTGCTTGGCCGATTCGGAAAGTCGCGTTTGGCTTGGACGGAAAGCTCCCTTTCCCCACCCACCCCTCCTTTTTGCCGAGTTCGGATTGGTCGCCGTCGGCATCGCTCACGGCGATGTGTGTTCAGGTTGGACGATTTTCTGGTCCAATTGGGTTGCTTTCGGAGGTCAGCGCTGGGAAACTTCTGCGCCTATTCTAGGGTCCCTTTGATGAGCATGCGCAGTTTTTCCTTGCGTAATCCCCGCGAAGGGCATCCCGGAGATGGGCCGACTTTTGCGCCCCCTCCCCCTTTTCGCCTCTTTGAGCCCCCTGAGGCGGCTTCGTTGACTTGGTGCACGGACGTTTCCCTCCTTTTCCCTTGTAAATCCCCACTTTCTCTATGGGATCTCTGCAGGTGCTCCCCCTCAACGTTTCTGGATCGCGCTTCCTATCATCTCACTCAACCTGCGTAGAGCAAGAGACAAGAAAGTAATACCTGGGTACCTTCCTCGTTCCTCTGCTCCGCCATTGCACCTAAACATTGCCTGTTATACTTTAAAACGGCTATTTTTCTCTTTCTCTCTCTCTCATTCTCCTTTTTCTTTCACTCTTTCCTTTCTTCTTTCTCCTTCTTTCTTTCTCTTTCCTTCCTTCCTTCTTTCTTTCTCCCTTCCTTTCCTCCTTCCTTCCTTCCTTCATTCTCAATCGCACCCTGCTGTTGGTACTTTGCTTTGATGGCACAAGATAAAATGAATAAAACGGTTCGCAAAAGTCTTTTAGTGTCCGTATTAGTTTCATTGTGCCATTGGCTACTTTATTGATCCTGGAAAAGGAAAACGAAGTCTATGCAATTTGTATTACGAAAGGAATCCATAATTACCATGGTTAAAACTGCCGAATCAAAGTCAAAAATATTGCAATTCTTTGATATTCTTCTCGAAAGAAATTCATTGCTCCCAAGTCTGCATTTCACCTTTCTTGCCCTTGGTGCCAACTGGACTCAACTGCTCCAAGTCTGAAGAACAGCAACAATGGAGGGGAGGAAAGACCCGCCACATCACATAACGTGATGTTTCGTGGCATTGTTCCCATTCGTGGAGCTGGGGTGGGCGTGGCCTGCATGTGATGCATCCGGCCCGCGGGCCGCCAGTATGACACCCCTGCGCTAGAGCAACCTGCAGAAAGAGAAGTTACGCCAGATTTCCATCCCTATTAGCAAATGGGCAGTATGCCAGAAACACTTCTGACTGAATTGACGGGTTTTGAAAAAAGAATGGAAAGACTCATAAATGTGAAAAAGGAGATGAAAGACGATGATAAGCTGTGTAAAACGAGTGTTTGGGGTGATAAAACTAATAATAAAATGGACATTTTAGAGAATAATATAGACGGAGTTGGAAAGAACTAGAAAATCTGGCTCTTTGGAATTGAGAGAAAAGGTATTTTATTTGAGGCTTAAAGCAATCCCAGAGGTTTCTGGTGAAGATATTGGAGAAAAAGTTATTAAAATCTTGGCATTTTTTTTGGATTGGAAAAAACACAGTTAAAAGCTGATAGAATGTGTGCGTGTGTGTGTGTGATGTGTGAGAACAAGAAATGTTCCAATATATGTTTTACATTACTTTGTTAGGAAGAAGAGAAAGAATCAGGTTTTGCAGCAACATTTTAATATGACCTAATATTGTATAGGTAATCCGTGAATTACATGGTAATTGGGATTGGAATTTCCATAACTAAGTTATGTCATAAAGTGAGACATCATGTGTATTACTTAGAGAGCAATCCCACTGGCGTTAACCAAATTCCACTTGAATTTAGCTAATCCCAGTCATTTTGGTACTTCCAAGTTAAGAATCTGCTTCCCCTTCAATTCCTCCCAGTTGCTTGGATACAGGTAAGTTAAGGAGGGGAAGGAGGCTTGCAAACATTGAAGATAGAGGGGAACATCAATTTGGTAACAGAAGATTTGTTGGCAGGCAGGAGATGGGCTGCATTGGGGAATGTGGACCTGTTGTTCAGTAGTAGTCAGCTGGATCTCCAGCATGGGTTTCTGCAGCGTAATTGCTATCGGCTGCCATAGAAACGGAGGGTGGCATGGACATGTGGGATGGGGAAACAAGCTGGTGTGTAGTAGTCCCATGAGAACTGGAAGGGAGGCTTGCACTCATGAATTATGGCACTGCTGAGTGGAGTTGTTTATACTCCATCAAGGCCAACCATCCTGTGAGAAATACCTGAAGAGGAGCTTTCCCATAACATCATACTGGACGTTGATTGGACTCTCAGTGCTGGACCCTGGGGGCAGGGATTTGGGGTGACTTTCAATGTATAACATCCACATGTTTTGGACCAGATCTTGCCTTGCTTACGCTGCTATCATTTCAAACTTAGTAAAAGTACCTCTTCCCTAATTCAATGGAGTTGGGCGTTTTCTTTCTTGAGTTTTGAACAGAGGCAGGCCTGGCATATGGGGTTTTGGTATTCTTCACTTGTCACTGAACATCAGAGACATGGGCTTTTGGTTTGTGGTGAAATGTAATCTGGATTTCCAGGAGGGAGGGGCTGCTTTCTAGAAGGCAAAAAGGCAACAGAGCTTGGAAAGTTTGGTCATCAGGAAGAGGGGAGAAGATTTGGAAATGTTTTTGGAGTGACAAAAAGAATAATAAAGTTTTAAAAATGGGCTAAAAATATTATTGGGCACAACTTTCCAGTTGAAATTTGTCCCTGCAATCTAGAAGTCAAATATAACATTCTCTCAAGACCTTTTTCTTGTAATCGATGTTAGCAGCATGAACTGCTAATGAAGAGAATTGTGAAGTTCTAAAATCCCGTCTGTCTTTTTCAAAGTTGAATTTCTCTCTGTGGGGAGTGCAGGCTGTGACCATGCTTATATCCACCATTCATTCTGGGGTGGCGGTGTTTGTACTCATTTTGTGATATGTGCATATTCAGCACATATTAGAAGAAGATTAAGAGTTTTCAATTGTCTGCCATTTATTCTTCATTGTTTGAAGTGTTTGTGTTTCCTATTTAACCTTGCCAAAATTTAGGCAGAATACTCCCCCCTTCAGACTCTGTAAAATTTGCTTTCTATTGGTTGAAAATCAAAAGGAAAGGAAAGACAACAACAATAGTGGGTACAATATCATGTTTCCATAGAAAGCCCTTTTGCCTCTCCCCTCTCTTCAGGATTTTTCCAATGCTTTCATACACATCAAATTCAGTCCTTTCAGTTTGCATCAAGATTTCACTGAGTGGCTACATCTACAGAGTGCAAACCATGTAGGATTGAAAGTACCTTACTCTTGCATATTTAGGTCTGTAAAATTAATTTCTGTTGAATTACAACTGTCAACTCCCCCACTGGGTTAGACAGCAAAATAAATTCCTGGGACATTTCTTTTACCAAGATAATTACTTTACTGAAGATTCCATATGGGTTCAGAAGTGGAAAAGCCAGTTCTAATGATTTCACATGAAAACAGCAAAGGAAAACTTTCACTTTCTCCCTATATCTATGAGACTTTCAATCATTTCATTCTGTAGAAATTATTTTCTAGTAATCTTATGAGGCAATATTTTAGATACTCTCTTCTTTGACTTCTACGTAATAATTTAACTGACCAGTTGGGTAATCCCGATTATCCTCCTAATTTGGGAGGGGTCTTTGTACTTTCTTTAGATTGATGATATGAGATCTTCTTGTCCAATACTGCAGATACCCATTTGTAAAAAAAATAAAAAATGATACAAATATAATGGTAGAATTTCTAGAGCTCTTTCTCCAATTATTTCTATCATATCAACAAGATTCCCATTGCACAAGTAGCATGTTTAAAATAACTGGGTGTGGTGTTTAAGGTCTCGGGAAGGTTAAGCGCACAAGACAGATATTCTACTTATTATTATTCAAAAGAACTCAATGACCAATTTGCATTTCCATTGGGCAGGGATAGGGGATACTATCTTCCAGCTGTCCTGTAATTATTTCAAGAAAAAATGTTGGCCTGCTCATGTATGGAAAATGGCTTGGACCATTTTCTAACTTTGATATATTGAGAGTTGAAAATTCTCCGTCTCACATTTCCACATTTCTTCTGGTCGTAAGCTGCTCTTTTGTGTTCAGGTCTGGTCTCAGAAGGATAATGCAGCACTTGGCAATGAAGATGCAGCCCGGCAGGCCAGCATTGGAGCACAAGATGGAGAAGATCTGCACAGCCCCCATGTATTTCCCTTTGGTGCTGAGATAGGTGGGCTCCAGAGGCTCTCCGGAAGCCAGAAATGGCCCTATTTGCAGCCTTCCCAAACTTCCGGGAGGCCCATTTTTCACCCTCCCCAAACCTCCACGCACCTCCTGCACTTACCTGCATCCAAAACGAGCTGCGTGCGGACTCCGGGGAGGGGTGGAGTGGGTGGGGCCAGCCAGGAGTGGGATTTGGGGTTCTCCTAACTGCACAGAATCTTAGCTAGGGGCTCTCCTGAACCCCTGCGAACCCCCAGCAGCCCACCCATTCTGACCAATGGCAGTCCAATTTCTTCTTCTTTTTTTAATAAAGTTTTATTTGGGTTTTCACACACACAAAATAAAACATCTTTTTTGAAAATAGCATGGTCGCGGGTTGAACTTCTTTATGCAGATACAAACTCAATTTCATTTTTGTGTTCTACTCCATATCTTATTACTATTCTACATTTTTTATATAGTTTTTCCCCTCTTTAATTTTCTCAATTTTATTTTGATTATCTCATCTCAATTCAAATCATTATATTTATACTTTTGTCTGTTCTTTTCAATTTCATATTATCTTTTCTCATTTCTCATCTGTAGTTACTAATTGGAGTATGACACCTTTATATCTTTTAATTATATCCATTCAACTCTTATTTAAACTTCAATATATACCTTAAGGTTATGACCTTCAATATAATACAT